AGGTGATATTGCTGCTGGGAAGTCTTGTTTTCCAGCCCAGCTGGAAAGGGCATGGGGACTCTTCTAGCTGTTTCTCAGACTTGTTTGAAGTTTCTTGTTTTGTGTTGTTTTTCTTGGAGTTTCCAGGGGAGATGCCAAGCTGGCAGCAAATGAAGTAGACTGTAATGTGAAGCCTTATACATACATGTTGGATCGCAGCCATCTTTATTAAACGTACTGGAACAGAAATGTGCAGAAGGAAGATTTTCAAATTAAGGTTCACCCGTCCATATACGTGTTAGCTTGTAAAGCTCAAAAATACTAAACTGTCATCCATTAGTTCCCTATATTTTATTGCCCTTTTTGGAATAATCGTGTACTTCAGAACATCCTTTAATCCGAGCTAGCTTGTGGTTGTTTAAGAATGCAGCTTCTTTTTTTCTTTATCCTTTATATACTCAGATGAGGAAAATTTACTGCACTTTATAAATAAATCAGAGCTAAAAAGCAAATTTTCTTTCCACCTTTTTATCTTCATGGAGGCCCAGCTTTAAGGCATTTGAGTGATGCATTTCTACTTGGCCCAACAACTAGTTCCACTGGGAAAAAAAAATCTTCAAAGTCCTTTTTTCCTCCTTGCAGGATGCACTATTGGGATCATAGTAAAAAGGAGCGCTGTTCCTGTGATAGCAGCAGACCTTTGTCTGTCTCAAAGCTTCAGCATTTTCACTTCTGCTTCATTACCTTGTAGAAATTAAAATGGATCCCTCCTTAAAATGATTATGACCTCTTTATTTGAATTGACAGATTTAATTTATAGTAAGACAGAGGGGCCAGGTGCAGCAGCTTATGCCTGTAATCCCAGCTTTGTAGGAGGTCGAGGTGGGTGGATCGCTTGAGTCCAGGAGTTCGAGACCAGCCTGGGCAACTTGGCAAAACCCCATTTCTACAAAAAAGAAAAAAATTAGCCAGGGTGGTGGCTTGCACCTATATTCTCAGCTACTCAGAAGCTGAGGTGGGAGGATCACCTGAGTCCAGGAGTTCAAGGCTGCAGTGAGTCCTGATTATGCCACTGCACACTCCAGCGTGGGCAACAGAGCAATACCCTGTCTAAAAAAAAAAAAAAGGGCAGAAGATTTCTAAATATTAGTGGAGCTCAATGTATTCATTATGGTTTTACTGGACAAGAACATTGAATTACATTGAATGAGGCCACCTTTGATATTTAGCGTTACTATTAGGTTAGTTCAGACAGTATGGTGGGACTGGAAACTAGATTTTACATATTTCCCTGTGCTTACAATTGAGTGTAAAACAATATTTGCTATTTGTAAATCAGGGTAGACGTGATCAATTAAAAGCAGTGTGCCTTATTGTGCAAGGTTTTCACATTTTAAAATGGCCTCTAATTACCTGATGGATAGCTGAAGTTTATGACTTTGATTTATGTGGTCATAAATTAGTTATAAAGTAAATGAGCTAAGCTTAGTAGGTAAGAATGACATGTTATAGAGAAAAAGATTTGTCCTATTAAATTAAAAGTGTTTAACTAATAGTTCATGCAAATTATTGCACAAATATTATAAAAAACTGACTTTCAACATAGATAGGACAAAGTTGCTATTTCAGCTATAGGTCATATATTTTTATAAAATTTGTTATCTTTCTTTTGGCTATTTAATGTTCCGTAATTAAAAAGTAAATGATATATAAACTTTTAAAGTTTTCAAATCATGTTCAATGTACTTTCTTTTGTGTTTATATACAAACTGACCAAAGGTAATCCTTTGATAAATGTTCATCTTAATTATAAGAGTCTTCCCAAGTGCTTTTAGAAGGGCCTCAAAAAGTAAAGAGGAACATAAGATAAACTAGTCGCTATAATCTCTGAAATGGTCATTGTACTGCCTAACTCCAGTGCCTTGGAAACAGTGCCACCATTCATCAACCACAGCACCCTTTCCCTCTGAGCTTGCTCTCAGAATCCTTTAAACAGAGCATTCCAGGCAGCCCCTTCCAGTCAGTTGGGACCACCACACCAGAGAACATCTATTTGCCAAGCCAGGTCTAGACCATGGTACCCAATAACAATTTATATGACTTTATGTTGTTCCCATATGCTGTTTTAGTATTCAAATATTTTTATATTCAAACAAATTATCCAACATTTGTTGCAGGGAAATCCTACATACAACTTAAAGCCTCCTGTTCTTGCACAGAATAATATAGGAAGAGTGAAAATGCACTAGAGCAATTTAAACTTCTCTATAGCCATCAGAGTGCTCAGTCTTTCATATAGTGGTGTCCCTGCAGTCAGCCTTCAGTATGATATCCAGCTATTAATCACCATTATCATTGAACTAATACTCACATTAAGTGGCAAAAAAGCCTCACTAATGTTAGGACCTCAGAATTTAACAGCCAGTTAACATTAAGGCCATTTTCCTTTAACAACGTGTAAGAAACGTGGTGAACAACAAGATATTCAGGTCCCAGTTCATTAAAGTGGACAAGTTGAAGAATAGCTTTTAAAAACGTCCAGAATCCTGTACCCCATTGCTGCAAAATGCAGTCACTGAGAGCCACATGTGGCATGCATCATGACCTGGAATGGCTTAACTCTCATGCAGGGCATCACACACCTTGGGGCAGTATTAAATTCTGTAAGTCATAAAAATGGTGGCTACATCTGTAAAACAGACACATAAAGGAGCAGGGATTTAGTGGGAAAACTGTTTTGTTTATCATGGGATTGCAATGATTATTGTCACCTTCAGGTAGATGGATACATAGGATATGAAGAGATAGACACAAGGTGGTGTTTAAAATGACAAGTAAACATGCACAGCATGCTCTTTCAGCCTGTCAGCAAACATTTGCCTATTTGCGGATCCCAAATACAGGGGTGGGGATGGGATATGGGTGCGAGGAGAGAACATACACACACATCTTTCCATCTATATCTATATGTCTATATCTATATCAATGATAACCTCATTATAAAGGAACAAGAGAGTCTTGCTGAAGTAGAAATTAGGTAACACTTTTTCTTATTAGTCTTGTGACCACTTAAGCTTTGAAAGAGGTTTTCAATTTGGTGGGTGGGGAAGAAGAAGGTTTGGTATTTTGATATTTTATATGATATGTACGTTCTTATTGAAAAGCCTAGACATTTTTGTGTCTTAGAGTGGATTTTGAACTCAGATAAATAACCTGGAAAAACTCGTATTACTTTTTGCCCAAGTCTTAAAAGATTGCATCCTCTTGTTTTAGAAATGTCTTTTCTCCCCTTTATGATATTCCTCTCAAATTTGGTTTGAGTGAGTTAAATTACCCACCCCTGCCCAGCATTCTTCAGTGTTACAGCTAATAGTAAGAACACGTTTTATATGTGTCTAAGCTTTCCCATTTAGGGAAGGTGAAGTAAGTTAATCTTATCTGTGGCATCTGGAAAATCAGGAAAACAGTGTGGCATAGCAGCCAACAACAGGAACTCTAAAAGCACACTGTCAGGGCTGGAATCCTGGCTTGACCTGTTGTTACTCTAGGTGTGTAACCTTGGAAGTATTCTCTAAGCCCTACCTTCCTGTTCTGTGTAAGTAAGACTATCATAACACTCTTATACTGGTTTACTGTGAGAATAAATGAGAGAAGACATAAAATTCTGTATTAGGCCATTTTCACACTGCTGATAAAGACATACCTGAGACTGGGCAATTTTCAAAAGAAAGGTTTAATGGACTTACAGTTCCATGTGGCTGGGGAGGCCTCACAATCAAGGCAGAAGGCAAGGAGGAGCAAGTCACATCTTACATGGATGGCGGTAGGCAAAAAGAGGAGCTTGTGCAGGGGAACTCCTCTTGTTAAAACCATCAGATCTCGTTAGACTTATTCGCTACATGAGAACAGCATGGGAAAGACCTGCCCCTATGATTCAGTTATCTCCCGCTAGGTCCCTCCCACAACACGTGGGAATTATGGGAGCTACAAGATTAGATGTGGGTGGGGACACAGAGCCAAACCATATAAAATTCCATTGCACGGTGCCTGGCACCTAGTTAGAACTCAGAGTTAACTATTGTTCAGTGGCATGCATTTATAAACTGAAGCCTTTAATTTTTTCTTCTATCAACATGCAAAGATTCCTTTTGTTTTGTTGGACCCTTTCAGCCATGTAATTTCTGCCTAAGGTATGAAGAAATGAGATGGTTATCCGTTCTTTTAGACAATCTGCTAGAAGGCAGTAAAATAATTTTAGGCCATCATGTTTCTGTGTTGCATTGACTTCACTGCAGATTAACTTCTGGTAGACATACATCTTTCTATTGGTACATTTTAAAAAAACCAAAAGACATGAGATGTAATTCACATACCATAAAATTCACTGTTTTAAAGTGTATAGTTTGGTGGATCTTAGTATATTCACAAGGATGTGCAAACATCACCACTATCTAATTCCAGAACATTTTCATATTTTCCTCATTTCATATCTGTTAGCAATCACTCCCTATTTCCCCAGCCTCTCAGACCCTAGTAACTACTAGTATACTGTCTGTCTCTATAGATTTATCTATTCTGGAAATTTCATATAAATTGAATCAAACAATATGTAACTTTTTGTGACTGGTTTCTTTCACTTAGCTGGATGTTTTGAAGGTTCATCCATGTTGTAGCAGGTATCAGAACTTAATTACTTTTTAAGGATGACTAATACTCCATTGGATAGCTAGTCCGCATTTTGTTGATTCATTCATCACTTGATGGAGACACATAGTTTTACTCAGTTTTGTTTTTAGGGAAATCTTTGAAAGTAGTTTTCCCTTCGTCAGAATACATAGTACATGTTTATACCCTTTTTCTTTTTAGGTGAATTATTGTCAAATTTCTAAAGGGAAGTTTTGTAGGATTTGGATCAAAAAAATTAAAATCTGGATTTTATTTTAGAGGGAGTTAAATATTGTTCTTTCATTCACATTAGTTCTTTTATATTTTAACTCTGAAGCTTCTCTGAACCTTTCTAGGGAAAAAGAGGAGCAGCTTACTCGTGTGACTGAAGTTCAGAGGTTGCAGGCCCAGCAGGCAGATGCCGCTCTGGAAGAGTTTAAGCGGCAGGTGGAACTGAACTCAGAGAAAGTCTATGCTGAAATGAAAGAGCAGGTAAGGAGGCCGCCACACCATCCCTTTTGAAAGTCACTCTCTCAGTAGGAAGGTACATTCTCATCTTAAATATGACAGAAACATTTCACTTTTTAAAAGAGCTGTGTCAAAATTAACCATACAATCGGGTCAGAGATTCAGAATGAGAAAGAGATGTTACCACCTGATTCATCCTTCAAGCGATGCCAGAATGATCATTTAAAAGTCCCCTGTATAAATGCAGTAATGGCAAGCTTGTGCCTTGCTTTGGAAGGATAGATAAGCCTAAGAGAAAAATCCCGTGACTGAACAGTTTCTTTAGAGCAGGGGCTCCAGTTAACCATGTCTGTGTTTCTTCATGTTCTATAAATAGTGTCTTGTTGATCAGCTACAGTAAATTATTTTCAACTGGCAGTTGTGAAGAACAAAGGCTGTCTCCAATTCTCATACAAGATGGGTGGTAGTTTTTTTTTTTTTAGTTTTTAAAGAAAATACAAAATTTGTAAAAGAATAAAAGGAATTATTATGAATACCTGGGTACCCATTGCAAAGATGTAATAATTGTTAATGCTGTTTATATAAACTAAAACATTCAGGTGAAGCTTTAGTTTAATTTGTTATTCATGTCTAATCACATTATTCTTTCTTCCCTGGAGAAATCCACTGTAATTAATTGAGTGCATGCAGTCAGCCCTCTGTATCCATGTGTTTTTGTATCCATGGGTTCTGCCTCCACGGATTCAAGCAACCATGGATTGAAAATATTTGGAAAAATTTGACAATGCTCCAAAAAGTAAAACTTGAATTTGCCATGTGCAAAGGACTATGTTGAATCCATGTGATAGAAGTGACATGTAGATGTTATATTAGGTATTAGAAATAATCTAGCAATGATGAAGTACATGGGAGGATGTGCACAGGTTGTATGGAAGTACTAGATCATTTTATATAAGGAACTTGACTATCTGTGGATTTTGGTATCTGGAGGGGTTTCAGGAACCAATCACCCATGGATACTGGGGAGGGCTGCATTATTTCAGTTTATTTTATATGCATATATAATGCCCATAGATAATATGCATGTATATATTATTTATGCATTAATATGTTATAGGCATAAATGTTTTTTGTTTTTTAAAAAATTAGATAAATATGAACAGATTTTAAGTACTATTTCTGTTTGCCCTTTTATATATAGTATTGTGTATCTGTGTGCTAACCATGTTGTTTTAGTGCAATCTTTTTAACACTAAATTTATTTTATCATATGAATATACTGTATTTTATCAGCTCCCGTACTCAGGCATATTTAGTTTATTTTCAGTTTTTCCTGATTATAAAGAATGTTTCAATACTCATTTATGATTTTATACTATAGTTATCTTCCTTAGGAGTCCCATGCACACACTGGGTGGGAGAAATGTCCCTAAGTCAAGTTTCATGTTTGAATCTGACTGAGGACTGAGCCCTAGGTTATGGGATCCCTGGGGTATCACTTTTTTGGCCAGAAACCTCTGTGGCCAGTGGCACCTTTTCCTGAGTTTTGCTCAGGCCCACTGGGCTTATTCCACCCAGTCGGCCTGACATGCTGCTCTTGGCTCATGCTACTGGCCTGGATCCCACACCTGCCAAAGGTGAGTCAGGCATAGAGCAGCGAGGGATGTGTGAGCAAGTGTGGGGTCTGGCCACTGTGCAGTCAGGTATGCCACCTGCTGCAGTGGGGTGGGCAGCTCCAGGTGCCAGCATGGATGTCAGCTCTCTGTGAGGCTGTGGCCGGACCAGGTATACTGCAAGCAGCTTCCACAGCTGTCACTGGGGAACGTGGTGGTACCCGAAGCTTGGAGATGCCAGGAACCATAGGAACCCAAAGAGGAAGTCATAGCCCTGGCTTGGGAGTGCCCTGGTCTAGGGTCCCCACAGGGCTGCAGCTCTTCTCTCCTCCTCTGTGCTTGCAACAAAGCGAGCTAGGGGACATGTTTCAGCCCCGCTGGTATTGTAGCTCTTTTAGCCCTGCCACTCGACAGGTTCTGAGTTCTTGTTCCGCGACTAGGAAAAATGAGGTATACAGACAAGTGGAGGGTGAGCAAGACAAAGAGGAGCTTTATTGAGCAATAGAACGGCTCAGAGGAGACTCATAGTGGCTAACTCCTTTCTGCAGCCAGGGTGTCCCACTGAGTGTTCAGCTCCTAGCAGAGAGGAGACCCTGGAGTGGTAAGCCCCTCTCTGCAGACAGGCAGTCCCATCATCTCTGCAGCTCTCAGCAGAGAGGAGGCCCTAGAGTGGGTTTCTCCTCTCTTTAGGCAGGTCGTCCTCTCATCTCCCCAGCTCTCAGTAGACAGGAGGCCATGGAGTGGGCTGCTCCTTTCTGCAGCTGATGGTCCCAATGTCTCTGCAGCTCTCAGCAGAGAGTAGGCCCTGGGATGAGTTGCTCCTGTCTGCAGCTGGTTGTCCTGACATCTGCAGCTCTTAGGAGAGAGGAGGCCCTGGAGTTGGTAGCTCCCCTCTGCAGCTGGTTGTCCCCACATCTGCTCTTGTCTGGCTGAGCCTGGGGCTTTTATGGGCCTCAGATGGGAGGAAGTGCACAGTGATTGGTCCATGGGTGGCCATGGGCAGGCCCAGAAAAGGCACCAGGAGTTTTCACTCCAGTCTGTAGGACTTTAAGCCAGGCCCCCAGCCTTTAGGCCCTCCCTAGCCTGAAGCTGAGGCCTCACTAGGGACCCATCCCCTTATGAGCAGGAGCCTGTCTGCCCCCTGCTGCTGTTCATGGTGCCCAGGCTGTAGGTGCCAAGGGTTGCCTGCAGGCCAGCAGTGAGCTGCCATCAGCACCCCCTTGGCTTCCCTCATACGCTTATTGGCAGCCAAAGTAAAGAGGTGGCTGAGGCAACAGGAGGCTGACATGTCAGTACTGCCCTGAGTGTGTGCCCACCTGGCTGGCTGCGACAGTACCCAGGCTCAGCCCTAACTTTGCTCCAACATCAGAGTGGGCACAGACAGCAGGAAGAAGCCAGACAGCAGGAGCAAGCACTTCTGAGCCAGCTAGGGAAGTGGGGACCTTCCCCAGCCTCCAGGAGTGCGGAAATGCCTGGATCCACAGCCATGGTATGGTAGGCTGAAACTGCACCATTCATGTTACATATAATGTAATGCATGTAATATACATGTACATAATATGCATGCAGTAAAAAAAAATGTGATGATTCCATTTTATACACAGCCAAGGAGTTTTTTGCTTACAAAAACGATAGGAAAGCATGTTCTTATATGTAAGAGCTCACATAATATATACCACATTTTTCTGGAAAAAATTTGTATGAAAACATGAACCAATCCAGAAATGAAGCATAAGACTTCCCACACATAAGGAACCATCATATGAAAGGATGAGTAGAGAACCCTGGAACCCCAAAGAAGTAGAAACAAATTTAAATAATTGTTACAAATATACTTAGAATTCTAATATTAATTTATTTTTTGAAAAGGAAGGTATATAAAACAGAAAATACAAATGTATTAACAACTTGAATTTATATCCCTAGATTACATTAATAAGGACCAAAAGTAGATGAATAGCAAGAGTTGGAGAAGCAAAGTATACTAAAACTCTTTGTCATAAATATGTGAGACTCATAAGATTCTTAAAATTAGGGAAATGTAGGTAAAAATAATTTTGAAATGTTTAAATATGAGCATTAATAAAATTAGCAAGTTGTACTTTCTTATAAAAATCTTGAAAAGATAAAAAGCAAAGCTTGAGAGGAGATGCTGCCAAAGGAACAGAAGCAGAAATACTATAAAATGTCCAAAATAAGATAGAGTATATAATTGTAATAATAAACATTAATAGGTTAAATTTTTCTAGTAAAATGGTATTGATTAGAATACTTAAATCCATGAATATGCTGTTTGTAGAAGTTATAACTAAAAGTTAACACAAAAATTATATTAAATTGATGATGAAAATATATCACTTGTATTCAGAAAAAAAGGAAAGTAGGATTGTAACACTATCATACAAATTAGATCAATACAAGTCAATAAACTGGACAAAGGGATATATTTTTGCATGCTAAACGCAAGAGTACTCAATTGAAATATGAAAAGATGTTAGGAATACATGGAGAAATGGACATAGATAATCATGGGATGTTTTCATATGTTTTTCTCCATCTTTGACAGGTCAGTGGGTAAAATCTAAATGGGGTGTAACAAATTATATGACAGCTATATTTTGACTTTTTCTTTTTTAGCATTTTATTTTTTTACTTTTACTTTTGTAGACATATGTTTCCATTTTATTCCAATAAGTACAGTAGTCCCACCTTATCCAAAGTTTCACTTTCCATGGTTTCAGTTACCTTCCATCAACCACAGTCCAAAAATATTAAATGGGAAATTCCAGAAATAAAGAATTCATAAGGTTTACATTGTACGCTGTTCTGAGTAACTTGATGAAATCTCATGCCATCCTGCTGTGTCCTACTCAAGGCATGACTCATCCTTTTATCCAGAATATCCATGCTGTATACCCTACCTGCCCTCTACATTGCAGCTATATAGCTAAAAGCATAGTGCATATAGGGTTTGTTACTATCCAGTTCAGACATCCACTGAGGGTCTTAGAACATATGAGGAGGGACTACTGTACCTAGGAATGGAATAGCTGATCAAGTTTAACATTTTTATTTACTTATGTATTTATTTTTAATTTTTTAATTTTTTTATTTCAATAGGTTTTTGGGGCACAGGTGGTGCTTGGTTATATGAATAATTTCTTTAGTGGTGATTTCTGAGATTTTGGTGCACCCATCACCCTAGTGGTGTACACTGTATTCAGTGTGTAGTCTTTAAACCCTCACCTCCCCCACCCACCCTTCTCCCCTGAGTCCCCAAAGTCTATTGTATTATTCTTATGCCTTTGTGTCCTCATATGTTAGCTCCCACTTATGAGTAAGAACATATGATGTTTGGTTTTCCATTCATTTAGAATAATGGTCTCCAATAACGTCCAAGTTGATGTGAAT